ATTTTATAATATTATGGGAACAAGAAATTAATATTATGAAATAAATTTTATTCCTATTTTTTATATTGATTATAATTGAAGAGAGTGTTAAAAGGATAAATATTGATAAAAATAAATATAATATATATAATAGAATAATATAAGATAATTGATAATAATAATAATAATATAATAATAAAGGATAAAGATGATGATAATAATGAAATAATAATAATAATAACATATAATATACTCTATTTATATATATATAAATAATTTAGAAAAAAATAAGAAACAAACTTACCCTTCTCCTTCAGCCAGAGGAAAGAACTTTAGGAAGAGGAGGAGAGGAAAGAAGAAAAAAAAGAAAAAGATTTAGAGGTTGTTTGGGAAATAATGTTTTGAAAAGCTTTTAGCTTATTGAACAATTTTATAGCTATTTGATCAGTAAAAAAGTTTAGGTATTTGATAAATTAGCTTTTTGAAAGACCTTTCTAAAAGTTCATCTACCCAGCGTTTTGAAAGAGCTTTTTCATTTTAATTTTGGTTATTCCTTATTTACCATTAAAACTTAATTATTTATTTTATACCTATAAATATATTTTTATAGCAGTATTTATTAATTATTTTAATATATTTAATTTATTAAATTATATTTTTATTTTTTGTAAATTTAAAATAATTACTATTATTAATATATAAAATTTTAAAACTAAATTAAATAGAAAAAACAAAGGTTATTAATTTATTTATATATATTAAAATAATAATTAACATAATAAAAATCTATATACGAAAATATTTATTATTTTATGTTTTACATAATTTCAATAAAAAATTATTATTTTTTAGTAAAAATAATTTTCTCACATCTAAATAATAAAAATAAAATAAATATTTATAATATTTTTATAATTTTCAATAATTAATAAAAAAAAATTCTCATAAATTTCAAACCAAAATAAATAAAATTAAATATTTTTAAAAATAACATATCGATGTTCTTAATAGTCATTTTATGTATAAACAGCTAATGTCAAACAGTTGTTTTACCAAACACTTTAATACAAACCGCTAATTGAATGAGCTAACAACTAATTGCCAAACGCATCCTTAACCGTCCGATTTCAATTTCTATTTCGGTATTTAATTCATTGTTATACATAGAGTTTAATTATGGATTTTAATATGAATTTAGATATTGAGGATATTAAATTAGAATTTCTTTAAAAATTCATAACTGGCTATTTGACTATTTAATCGACTAATTTCCACTACAAAAAAATAATATATTTGTGACGGAATTCCGTCCCTAAAGTTCACGTAGCTAACGTAATTCCATTACTAATTCCGTCTCTAATGTCATCAGTAACGGAAAAAATAGATTTAGAGACAAAATAATTTTGTTACAAAAATGATTTTTTCTTGTAGTGTTCTTTAGCTAATAGTCTATTCGTAGTCCTAGCGTTATATTATGAGAATTTCGTATCGATCCGAGTAGTTGAAAATGGCAGTCTATTGCACCTACCTGTTTATTCATATCTTTACGAATTTTTATTTCATAATCAGGAAATATGAATATTATGAAGTATAAGGGTTTTACAACTAAAACATAGTATTTTACTGAATATAAGTGTTTGAAGTCCAACGAGCTAATTATATAAATTAGCTTTTCAATAAGCATGTAGCTCCTATGAGTAAGCATATATAGCTCATCTGATTTAAGTAAATAATTGGGCAGGTGTACGTTGGAAGAAATTTGGGTGAGATTGAAAAAGTTAGGGAGTGTTGATAAGAGGTAAACAATAGAGAATTAAATCTAATTTTAAGAAATTAGGTATGCATATTGCATGCGATTCTGATTAATATTTTAACGTGATATTATGTGAATCATCTGCCAGTGCATGTATATATATTTATATATATGTGTGCGTATGCATGTGTGAGACTTCTCATTTTATGATATTTGATATACGTATTTGATCGTGTTGGTGAATTTATGAAAATGAGGATAGGTGAGCTGTCTTACCGGCCCTTTTCGGTAAATTCACTTATTTGACATACTGCATACATATTGCACCGTTTATCGGTTATGTTTTATGGATGTATCGTTTAGTCGTTGTGTGCGGTACTGCTAAGCGAGGGCATCATCTGGGGTTAGGATATTCGACCCCGATGTACCGTAACACTTTGGCAATAGTGGACGATAGTAGTCGGACAACTGGGTGACTTAGTCGCACAGTCATTCAGGGATTAGACCCATTGTAGTTTAGATGTATTTGGTCTAATCATTCATGTTCGGTGTTGTTCCACTCATTGGAGTAGCTGCTAGTGAAGTCTACCGGTAGTTTAGGATTATATGCCAAACTCCAAACGTGATCCCATTAGGGCGCGCAAGGAGGAGTAGAGTTTCCGGGTTTTTCTTGGGTGATTTCAGGTTGCACGGATTCTATTGCATTACACGGGATAGAGCTAGTCAGTGGGGGCCGTATGTTCGCTATCACAGATTATGGGGCGTCTTGTGATTAATGGCGACAACGTTTGGCTATCCATGTATTGATTGTGGGAGTCATATGAGGGGGTATGTGGAAGTGACCGAATGACCATTATATTATTATGGGTTTATCAGGTCGTTCCTTAAGCCGAGGATTTTCTGGCTATTTATTGATGATGGTCTAATGAGCTTGTTATTATGGGGCCGAGGTTATTCCGGCTGCTCACTTTGACAGATGCAGTGAGCCTATTATTATGGACCCAAGGTTATTCTGGTTGTTCACTTCGACTGATGTATATATATATGTGCATGTGCATTGTTGTCGAGTTTGATATCTTTGTTGCATCATTTCACTACAGGTATGGCATGACATGACACGTATTTTATGAATGACAGATATTAGACTTTATTTTAAAAGGTATGACATGACATATTTCACGTTAGTTCTTAAAATGTATTTAATTTTAGACTACTTTTAAAAAAAATATTTGGTTTAGGTATGCATGAAACCTCCGGGACAGGGGACGTCTCGGGATATAAAAAGACTGAGTGAGTGAGTGAACTTACATCTATTGTATTATATGTAAATTTTTAACCAGAAAAACCTCTTGCTTAGTAGTGTGTTTTGTAAATATTCATAAATTAGATAGAGGTATGTATATATATGTTTTGGTGTATCAAACAATGTTTCAATTAGTTACGAAGGAACTTTATCTAGTTGCGTCTCTTGTTTTCTCTGAATTTAAATGAATGGTTAATTTAGTTTTTTATAAGCTCAATATCTTGCAGTTATTTGGTCTAATTGTGTTAATTTTGTTCAGTTTGGGTAATATAAATATATACAGAGTGTTCTTTCTAATAGATTTTCACCAATTAAAAACAAGATTTTCTATGTCATATGTTGACAAGTTAGTTTTACATTTCTACTAATATAACTAAATTTATTTAAAACAATTGTTAAATTTGATTTTTACCATAATGTTACTTACACTATAGATTGATCCCTATGCATGATCCTAATGTCTTCTTTGTTCAACTTGCTCCATAGCTTTGAATTTGAGTTATATAAATGCACATTTTGTTTTTATTAAAGTTCCTATCAAATAGAATTATTTATATGCTACATTCAATCTTTTTTTCCGAGCTGGTAGTCAAGATTTTTTTTTTTTTCTCTTTTGGTGAACAAATCCCTCCATCTCTCTCTACGTCTCCCTAAATCGCATTTCTCATTTTTTTCTCATTTTAGACCATCGGAACTCTCTCATTCTCTCACTCTTTCTCCTGCAACAAATTCAGAGATATTTATATATATGTTTTTTTTTTTATTCTATTTTATTTTAATTTTTTTTTTAATCTAAGTTTGAAGTAGTTATGAAGGCACTTTATGGAGCTACATGTCCTTTTTTTTTTTTTTTCTCTGAATGTAAATGAATAGTTTATTTATGGTTGGGTAAATTATATAATATCCCCACTTGTTTTTAGCACAAAACACCTTGTATTTTCTTTAAACCCTTTGTGTTAATGTAAAGTTTGTACGAAACACTCCTTTAGTCCAAAACTGGTGTTCTAAAATAAATTTTGAATAAAACAAATAAATAAATAATTGATTAATCCTTCAATTTTTTTTGTAATTTTTTAGACAAATTGTTAGTTCATTTTATTTATTTTATTTTACTAAAAAAATTATTCAAGATACTTTTTATTTGTGTAAAACTTACTTAATATCTTTAGAATCAGTTTTGAATAAGGAAGGTCTTTCATGCAAACTTATTAAGAGGGTTTTAAAAAATTTATTTGTAATTTTATTCAAAATTTGGTTACCAGATTTGTAGTTGACAACGGTTTATATGCTTTGTATTTTGGTTTTTGTGGAAGTTTCCAGTTTGTATGTTTTATGTTTTTCTTTGCTTCAATAAAAATTCAGATAATTTAGAAGCGTTGATTACTGCATAATTTTTCTATAGAGCAAGGTTCATGCCCAAGTACCTCCGATTAGAAGCCATGGCAGTCGTGACGCAAGGAAAAGAAACCGGTGGCGTCCCGTTTCAATGTCCGATGTTAACATCTTCGAACTATACGACATGGGCGATAAGGATGGAGACCATTATGGATGCCCAAGGGGTATGGGAATCGTCGAACCAAAGGCCGGTGAGGTCGTGACGAGAAGAAAAATAAGGCGACAAAGGCCTTCCTCTTTCAAGCATTGCCAGAAGACATCCTTTTGCAAGTATCCAAGAAGTAGACGGCACAAGAGGTCTGGGAATCTAAAGACGCGGTATCTCGGGGCTGACCTAGTGCAAAAGGCACAAGACTTTACACATTAAAGTGTGAGTTCGAGGCTCTTCAAATGGAAGATGGGGAGACCATAGACGAGTTCACTGGGAAATTAAGCAGCATGATATCAAAATAAAACAGCTTGGGAGCATCACTCGAAGGCAGTGTGTTGCTAAGAAAATTGCTTGATTCGGTCCCTGACAAGTACCTACAACTAGTAGCGTCCATTGAGCAATGATCTGATGTGGACTCCATGCCGTTTGAAGAAGCTATTGGGAGATTAAAGGCCTATGAAGATCGTTTGCGAGTGCGCAATAAAAATGCAAGCAATGAAGGAAGTTTGTTGCTTACAAAGTCTGCAGGTTCCAGTCAAAAGATTTCAGGTAGATTCCTCTCACCATCTGGAGGCCGTGGTTCTCCACAAGGTGATAGATGGGGTCGAAATGGTGGTCGTGACAGAGGCCGTGGTAGAGGTGGTCAAGGAAGTAGTAGTGGACAGCGAGATTTTGCGGACAGCCATTACAAACCAAGAGACAAGAAGCACATAAAGTGCTTTAATTGTGAAGAGTACGGTCATTACGCATCTGAATGCAAAGCTCCAAAGGGAAAATCCGAGGAAGTAAATTTGACTCAAACTCAAGATGAAGAACCATACCTTCTGTTGGGTTTCTGTCAGGACAAGACAACAATGAAGGTGTTGTTGAATGAAGACAGAGTATCTACAGGAAGTAACAATGATAAAGCAAGTGAGGATGCTTGGTATCTCGACAATGGTGCGAGCACTGGTATTAAGGAACACCTGGCTGAACTTAATGAGAATGTGACTGGGCAAGTGCGCTTCGGAGATGGGTCTATGGTTCAAATAAAAGGAGAGGGCTCAATTCTATTGAATTGCAGAAATGGAGAGCAAATTATACTTCCAGATGTGTATTACATACCTGCTCTACACAACATCTTAAGCCTTGGACAATTGACAAAAATTGGATATAAAGTAGAGATGATGGATGATTATTTAAAGGTCAGTGATGAAAATTGGTGATTGTTTTATGAAAGTGCAACGAACCATGAATCGGCTGTACAAGATCGCACTTCAAATTGCTCAATCAGTGTGCTTAAATACAAGCATTGACGACAATGTGTGGCTATGGCACGCGAGACTCGGTCACATTAATTCTCGAGTATTAGAATCGATAATGAAAAGAGGATTAGTGCGTGGTATACCCAACATTAAGTTCCCCACTCAAGTGTGTGAAGGCTGCATGATTGCTGAGCAAACCCGTCAACCATTTCCGAAGATGGCGCAATGGCGACAACCTCACCATTGGAATTAACCCATGCTGACATATGCGGCCTGATATCGCCATAGACAATAGGAGGTAACCGCTACTTTCTATTATTTGTGGATGATTTTTGTGGATACATGTGGGTTTATGTTATAAGATCAAAGGGTGAAGCATTCCCTGCATTCAAGAAATTTAAAGCTGAGGTAGAAAATTAAAGCTCCTACAAGGTGAAGGCAATGCGGATTGACAGGGGAGGAGAGTTCACCTCTAATAAGTTCTCTGAATTTTGCAACACGGCAGGGATCAAACGTCAATTGACTGCCCCCCACACACCACAGCAAAATGGGGTAGTAGAGCGGCGAAATCGAACCATTTTTGAAGTTTCAAGATCCTTATTGAAGACTATGAATGTACCGGAGTTCTTGTGGGGGGAGGTGGTTCGTCATGCTGTGTATTTGCTTAACCGAGTTCGGACAAGAGGATTCGAGAATAAGACTCCGTATAAAGGATGGAAGGGAAATAAACCAACTCTTCAGCATGTGAAACTTTTTGGATGTGTCAGACATACAAAAAGGTTAGCAAATCAACTTACAAAGCTTAGTGATAGAAGTGTTGCAATGGTGTACATAGGTGTAGAACCGGGCAGCAAGCTCATCGTATGTTCAACCCAAAGGAGAATAAATTGCATGTGGCTCGTGATGTGATTTTTGATGAGAAAACCAAGTGGAATTGGAATGTGCGTGAAGAAATCAATCAACAGCAAGTACATGGTGGTCGAATGTACAAACCAGCCCAGTACCTGATGAAGAAGCACATGAACATGGCAGTTCCGGTGACAACATTGAGGGTTTGACTCCTCAGATTGATGTGGCAGACGCTCCGCCCCCTTTCATCACGCCAATAGAGCAAGCTGGGCCGTCAAGTACGATCCCTAGTACAGCCAGCACATCAAGCACCTCATCTAATGCTGGTCGAGAACTGAGATCTTCTAGTTTCGACCACACACCAGTTCGTGGGTATCAAAGTCTTACAGATATTTATGATGAGTTGCAACTACTGCAAGCTGAATTGGAAGAACTATTGTTTACCGGTGCGGAACCATCGAGTTTTGAAGAGGCTGTTTCTGATCAAAACTGGTTAAATGTGATGAGGAATGACCTTTAGTCAATTGAAAGAAACAAAAAACTTGGAGCGTAACGGATCTGCCCAAAGGACACCAACCCATTGGACTAACATGGGTGTTTAAATTAAAGGATGTTGAAGGAAATGTAACAAAGCACAAGGCTCGACTGGTTGCGAAAGGATATGTGCGGCGAAAAGGGGTGGATTTCAATGAAGTCTTCGCACTAGTGGCTCGATTGGAAACAGTCAGAATGTTGTTAGCACTTGCAGCTAAGGAAGGATGGCAAGTTCATCATCTTGATGTTAAGTAGGCATTTCTAAACGGTGAGTTGCAAGAAGAGGTTTATGTTTCTCAACCTGAGGTATTTATTGCTGTTGGTAAAGAACACAAGGTTTATCAATTGAATAAGGCACTTTACGGTCTGAGGCAAGCACCAAGGGCGTGGAATATTCGCCTTGATAAAACGCTCAAAGAATTGGGATTTGCTCGGTGTCCCCACGAACAAGCAGTTTACAAATCTCAGAAAGCAAACACTGTGTTGATTGTTGGGGTGTATGTGGATGATCTGGTCGTAACAGGGTCAAGCAAAGAGCAGATTGAAGATTTCAAACAGAAAATGTTCAAGGCATTCGAAATGAGTGATTTGGGTAACTTGTCTTACTATCTTGGAATTGAAGTGCATCAAGACAATTGGGGAATCAAAATCAGTCCAAGGGGTTATGCAAAAAAGATACTTCAGTTAGCTGGAATGGGTGAGTGCAACTCTTCAAAGTGACCGATGGAACCAGGGATTAATTTAATTAAGGATGATGATGGTGTGCCTCTAAATGCTACTGATTATCGACGCATCATTGGAAGTTTGCGCTACTTGATTCACACCCGACCTGATCTTGCTTTTTCGGTTGGAGTGGCAAGTAGTTATATGCAATCACCGAAGGAAAGTCATCTAAAAGCTGTGAACCAAATTTTGCGATATATAAAAGGGACAGTGATATACGGTTTGTATTATCGCAAGGGAGGTGATGGAAAATTAATTTGGTATAGTGACAGTAGTCATGGCATGGATCTGGATGATAGAAAACTGGGATTGTTTTCTACTTTTCAGGAAACCCAATTACATGGTCCTCCGAAAAACAGCGTACAGTGGCATTGTCTTCTTGTGAGGCTGAATTTATGGCCTCTACCGCGGCAGCATGTCAAGCTATGTGGTTGACAAGCTTGATCAAGGAGTTGACTGGTATGAAAGATCAGAGTGTTAAATTACTCGTGGATAACAAATCAGGAATAGCACTCATGAAAAATCGAGTCTTTCATGGTAGAAGTAAACATATCGACACAAAGTTTCATTTCATACGTGAATGTGTCGAGACGGGTTTAATCAGTGTGGAGCATGTGAGTGGTGATCAACAAAAGGCTGACATTTTAACAAAACTGTGAATGGAAATTCCCCTAAGTTATTTTGGCATATGAACTAATGGTGTCTTAATTTCTACAGCAAAGACTTTTCAAAAGACAAAAGACATATTTGAAGAAAGATCAAAATATGGAAACTCACTCCTTCCATTTCGGTGCAAAGGGAAATTAATGTGGAATCTTTTATTCAAAGAATGTGAGTGATTTGGAGATCATACTTTAGAGAGAAGAATATAGAGTGAAGCTCTCATCCATCTATGCATGTCGATTCCCTTTAGTTTGAATGAGTTTTTGACAGAAAAATTCGTCGGAGAGGTCGACGTGATCGGAGTTAAAGGAGTTCCAACCGGAGAGGATGATCAAACTTTGAGCGGCTCTGCTATATGGTCGTTGTCAGTACGCGTTTGTGACAACGTGAACCTGTGGAGGTATTTTCCAAGGTAGACCATGATAGGAGTTTAAGTTGAAGGAGTTGTGATTGTTTATACTCTGTAATCAGCATTGCTTAGTAGAATGTCTCTTGGATTGAATCCCCCGGATGTAGATTGGTTGATAATCGAACCGGGTCAACAAACACCTTGTCTTATTGTTGTTTTATATTATACATTGTTTTTTGTTGTTGAAACGTAGTTATAACTGTGAACCGCCCACGCTTCGGGAGTTGACTCTTTAAAGTGTTCGAATGTGTTTTGTTCGATAAATCACTTCCCCAACATCTGGTATCAGAGCAGTGTTCTCTAATTCGTTGAGTAGATCTGGTCACAGTTGCAGACATGAGTAAGCAAGGACGTTCAACATCAAGACCTCCATTATTCGATGGGACAAATTACCAAGTTGGAATAACAAAATGGAAGCCTTTCTGATGCTTCAAGGTGAAGACGTTTCTGATGCTATTGAGTGTGCATGGTCTCATCCTATGAAAACCATCCAAGATGAAGATGGTTTTACTACTCTTGTGAAGAAACCGAAGAGAGAATGGACGTTGAATGAAAAAGCTGCTGGAATAGCAAACTCGAAGGCCCTATTTTCGATTTTTAATGTTGTGGATGAAACTCAGGCAAAGCTTATATGAAACTGCAAAATTGCCAAGGAAGCTTGGGACATTCTGGAAAATGCATTCGAAGGTTCAACACAAGTCCGAGAATCTAAACTAGATCATGTAGAGACATTGTTCGAAGGAATGAAGACAAAAAAATCGATGGTTACTATAATCTCTTTATGGATCTTGTCAATCAAGAAGAAGCTCTTGAATGCACTTTGAAGAAAAGAAGCTAGTGAGGAAGACGCTTAAAAGTCTCACAAAAAATTTCAGGCCAAAGGAGATTATGCTCGATGAACCACCAAAGTTGAAAAATATGACGTTGGATGAATTATATGGTACTTTGGTGAGCTATGAAATGAATTATCTCGAAGATGAAACTCCAAAAAGCATGGCCTTAAGTGTGGAAGACATGGAGCTAATCGAATCTGATGAGAAAATGGCTATGTTGAGTCGAAAACTTTCAAGAATGATAAGTGAGAAACGAGCAGCCAAGCTGAAGTATGGAAAGTTTCAGAACATAAGTGGTTATCAGGGTGTGAGTACTTCTAGCTCACAACGAAAATACTCTGAACAGAAAGCACCAAATTACAGCAAGCCAAAAGAGAAGTTTGATGGTGGATTCAAGAAGAAGTTCACTGTGTCCCCTAAACCTGAATCTGTCAAAAAGCCAACATGCTATGGATATGGAGGAATCGGTCACATCAAGTCTGAATGTCCGACAGTGAAGAAAAGGGAGAAAAGAGCATATCAAGCAACATGGAGTGACAATGATGAAGAGGAAACTGTCTGTGTCGAGGAACAAGCTGAAGATGGTGAAGTTGTTGCTTTCATGGCCGATGAATTTGAATCTATTAAAGATGATGGTGCTTCTACTGATAAAGCTTCAGAAGAATCCATAGAACTTGATGTTGATGAATTGATTGAAGCCTATGAAGAGATGGTGGCAGAACAAAAGAAATCACTGGTGAAAAATAAAGAACTTTTGGACACCATTTACTGGCTAGAAGCTCAAAAGGAAAAGTTGGATGATGGAATTGAAATTTTGAAGAAGGATGTTTATGAGAAATCAACTGAAGCTGATATATTGAAGGCTGAAAATGCAGCTGAAACAAGAGAATGATAGACTTCAAAAAGGAAAAGAGAAATTGGATAAAGTACTTTTGATTGGAAAACCTTTT